TTCCTCCAATCCTGATACCACGTTTTTCTTCATATAGTCCAGCTTCTCGGATTATTTGCTCAGCATATAGATTGAATAAGTGTGGAGAAAGAATACAATGCTTTATCACTCCTAAGTTAAGTACCACCCATATTCTATAATCAGGGAAAGCCAAAAGCAGAGGTTAAGCAAGGAGCTGGAATTTGAACCCAGCTTTACTTTGTTCCAAAGTACACATTGTCCCAGTGCACAATGTACACCATGTGGCAGAGCAGAAGTAAGTGTAGCTAGGGGAAGCTAGAACCAATTTGCACATCTCAGATCAATTTCCAGTTCTTCAGAGACCTCTCCCCTGATTCTCTAACTAGGTCAAGTCTCCCTCTAATGTTCTCTCATAGTTCTTGTGCCCCACCTTCAGTGTAGTAGCTGATTCTCCCACTAGACTGAGGGTGAGCAAACTATAGCTGGTAGGATGATTCTGCTACATTGGCAGAGTTGTGAAGTTACTACAGAGACTATATAGCTGCAAAACCAAAAACATGTATCTGGCCCTTTACAGAAAAGGTCTGTTGACTCTGTACTAGACTGTGAGTTCCACGTGAGTGGAGACTGTTTTCATTCACCATTGCAAATAACCCTGCTGCCTAACACGGTGCTTGGCAATGACAGGAATTCAATAAATAACTGTTGAATATAGTTTAGAGTTAATAGTGAAACATGCGCTAGAACCTGAAAAACAGGAGAAATGTCAAGAACCAATATGCCCAATTATCAACATTACAGTGGCTGCCAAACCAAACCAAACCTACTGCCATTGAGTTGATTCTGACTCACAGCAACCCTCAGTAGAGGCAAATAACATTAACTTTTTTTATTAGAATTCTTTTGACCAATGGACTATTGACTGAAAATATGTTTTCAGTAGGAATTGTTTTTCAATAAAAAGGGAGAACATTTTTATTATTCCTGAATTAGTCATTGTGTAACAGTTTATCATGTGGTTTAGAACAAAGAAGTCATCCCTTATTTTTTTGTTTGTTTCAGACTGTCTGATCCTTTGCCATGTTGCCAACAAAGTTTACCCATTCTATGGGTGACCAAAGGAAAACCTGATGTCAGTATCAACACTCTAGCTCAGAGGTTGGCAAATACTCTCTATAAAGGGCCAGAGAGTAAATATTTCAGGCTTTGCAGGTCACGTAAGTTCTGTTGCAACTATACAACTCTGTCATTATAGCAAAAGCAGCCATAGATAATACATTAATGAATGAGCATCTGTTATAATACTTATATTTACAGACAAATATTATAAATATTATAATACTTTATTTACAGACAAATTTGAATTTCATATAACTTTCTTACGTCTTGGAAACCCAAGGAGGGGTCGCTATGAGTCAGATCCGACTCCACAGCAGTGAGTTTTTTAGGGGTTAGGATATTGTAGTAGTTTAGGCTGTGTGTCAACTTGGGGGGCCACTGTTTTGAGAGGATTGGCAGCTGGATGTAGTTATTCCCCATTAAGATATTGGAAACAAACACTTCCATGGTGGAATCTACTGTGAGCAGCTAAGTAGCTGAAGAGGAGTTACCTTAGGCATGTGGCCTGCTTCCAGGACATAAGGAGAAGTTTTGGGAGAGGTCTCTAGCTTTTGGCACATTTTGGATTCTGTATTTGGCCAAGTCTCCATCTCCAGTCCCTGGACTTCAACCAGTGAGTGGTCTGTCGTGTTGCCTGCCAATCTTGGGATTGTGCCATTTACCTACTGACCTTAGGTTTGTCAGCCTCAGCAGCCAGCAGCTGCCTGAGTTAGGAGACCCCCAGCTCCAGTGGGCCTGGAATAAGAGGCAGAGCTAAAGCCCATGGTTGAGGGGCCTTCACCCAGCCCTTAGAGCCAGCACTTTGAATTCAGACTTCTAGCCTCCTGAACTGTAAGAGAACAAACTCCTGTTTGCTAAAGCCACCATTTGTGGTATTTCTTTCATAGCAGCACTAGAGAACTAAGATAGACATCAGCATGTTTTCAAAAGGAATATTTAATCCTTAACACCCCAATCCCACTGCCCTGCTTCTCCAAGTGATTTCACCACTGGGACCTCTGAGCTGTACTTGTGAAATGATTCACCTTCACTTCTCACTGCAACCCTAATCCAGACAGAGCTTTGTGGTTCCTTGTCTGAAATGATGTTAGAATAGAGATTGAAGGTGAAGTTGATATCACTCTGCAAAAATTGTGCTCCTTGCTTAAGAGGAAAGCATGTTAGATCATGCAACATCTCGAAAGTCCTACTAGGTTTTCAGAGAAGGTAACAAATGTTGTTAATAACACTAACCATAGCACAGGAAGGGCAGATAAAATCATGTTCGTATCTTACATCTAAGAGGATAAGGATATATAAAAAAGGGTTTAAAAAAGACTTACCTGGAAAATGTTTAAAATGAGAGTTAAAAAAAAAAAAACACTCATAAAGAAGTTAAAATTCAGTTCTCTAGAAAACTCACTTAGGTGGAAAGGGAGAATTGGCCTGCAAATGAGTATCAGTGTTCAGATGCAGTTTGTGATAGCACTGTTTGTGGATTTGTAAGCTGTTTAGCTAGCTTTCTTTTGTTTCATCCTTATTTCGATAGCACCAACAGTAAAATGGCAAAAAGTTCTATGTTATTCAAAGTCCTGAGCTGTTGCTTACCGCCATTCATTTGTGAGCTGTTCTCTCTGAGGGAGCGCAGCTCGTCAAGATTCCCCTGTAGCCAACTACGGATAAGCTCAATTTTTTCATCTCTTTCACACAGCTTTTCTACCAAACTGGTTATTTCTTGCATTGTCTCTTTACCATCATTCACAAATTCCTGAAAGAAATGGCAAGTTTGTGTATATGAGTATAAATGGCAACAAAACGAAAACATTCTTTGTAACTCATGTTCAAAACAAAAATTTTTTATGCAAGCTTGGTATCAGGCATGCAAAATAAGTGTGTGCGCAGAGAAAATTCATAAAGTTCTGTGAAAGATCAAAGAAAAAAAAAGAATGATCCAATGAGAACATTTATTAGACAGCTCACTGAACCCAAAATTCAACTGAATAGGTAGGGTGTGGGGCAGTAGCACAAAATCCAGTTCATCCTCAGAGCAGCCCAGACAAGGTTCAGCATGGCCTATAGCTTAAGAGAAATAACTTTGAAGTGGGCTTGGATCTGAGTTGTAATTACCTGTAAGTTCATCAAGTGCTGGCTGAGGTCTTGGGGCAAGTTATTTAACACTGTGAACCTCAGTAGCTTCATCCAAAAAAAGGGCATCACTAAAATCTTCCAGATTCAGTGTTTGAAGAGTTAAACACTGATTAGTTGCAATCTTTTAGAACTTATAAAATGGCAGAGCCAGGAGTCAAACCCCAACCTATCTGACTCTAAAGTAAGGGTGTTGCAGTAGCTCTCAAGGCTGGTAAAACATGGATGGAAATGGAGTTCAGAGTTGACAACTTTGTCTTGAAACAAAATGAGCTCAATCTGAGCTTGAGGGAAAAAAAAATGTCATGCTCACTTTAGCTAAAGTGGTAGAGTAGTAAGACAGTTTCCCAAAATATTAAGATGTCATAGTGAGTTTTACACAAAGGACACATTTTAGGATGTGATGGTCATACCACCTCAGTCACCACCCCCAATCCCAACTTTCTTTCCTTTGCATGTGCATGTGTGCCTGCACACACACATGCACACACTTATTACATAGGTGAGCATTTAAAAAATGACATGGTACAAATGGAGGCAACACACACAAAAACTCACCTTAGCGGAGGCCTGAAATTCAGCCCACAAGTCCATATATTGTCCTAAAATGAAGATTTTAGAAATGCAAAGATTACTGAAGCAATTTGAACATTTTAATAAAAGTAATGCTATTTTTATCTTTCAAAAAATATTTTTATTTAAATATTTCCACTTCCTGAAATGATAAGAATAACTGGATCGAACTTGTTACCCTACTGTAAACAAGTAGAAAATGGGACAAAATATATGAAGCAAATGTTTCCAGATGCTGAAAAATGGGTTATACAGAACTGTGATACCTGAGAGAAAGGAAACAAACAAGATGAGCCCTATGGTTACCTCAGCTTTCTGGCGGAGGCACTTTTCAGACCAGTGACGTCAAGTGTATTCCTAAGCAGACCACGGCAGACTTGCACGCAGCCACAAAAGTCTATCAGAAATATTAGAAAATTGAATCCAGCACTAAATAAAAATGGTAACTCCCGAACAAGTGAGTGTTGTTCCAGGAATGAGAGGCTGATATGAAATTAAAAAAACAGTCAACACAATTTACCACTTTAATAGTGTAAAGGAGAACTTTATATGAACATCTCAATACATGCAGAGAAAGTATTCAACTACTTCAACACCTTTTCATGATTAAAACTCTCAGGGATCTAGGAATAGAAGGGTACTTCCTCAACCTGGCACAGAGCATCTATATAAAACCTACAACTAGCAGCGTATTTCCTGGTGATAGACCCATCTTGCAGCAGGGACAAGGCAGGGTGTTTTCCCTCATTGCTTTCATTCAATGCTGCAGTAGAAGTTTAGGTCAGTGTAATAGGGCAGAAAAAAGAAAAAGAAAAAGAAAAAGCATGCAGATTGGAAAGGATGAAGAAACACCACTTTTATTTGAAGATGTAATTATCAATGTAAAAAGTCCCAAGAAATCTACAAAAAAGTAACTAGAAATAATAAGTGAATCTTAGGATTGTCACAAGACACAAGGTCAATTTGAAAATGAAAGAAAAAAAAAAATAACGTCACTTTCAAAAGCACCAAACATACCAAATACTTTGGGATAAGTTTAACAAAAATATGTTATACAGGAAAGGGCTAATTAACTCAGCAGGCCTGGGTTGCTCACTTTTTGTACATTCCCCAGAAAGATCTGCATTTGGACTGGCCCTTGGCTGGCTCTTGTGAACTGAGCTCTTGAAATATTCTGTCAGATAAGAGTGTTTTTGCATCCCTGAGACCTCGAGCCACACTGTAGCAGTTTGTCCAGGTAGTTTATGCTGATGATGTGATCTTTGGTGAATATCTGTTTTCCTACTAGGAGTCTGGAGCTTGAGTAACTATGGTCAATCACACAGGTGCTGTAAGCCTATGTAACTGACTTTCAATAGATACTTGGACACCCCAGCCCAGGTAAGCATACTTGGCGGACAACACTCTGCACACGTATCACATCATTGCTAGGGAAACTAAGCACATCTGTGTGACTGCACTGGGAATGGCACCAGAAAGCTTGTGCCTGGCTTCCTCTGGGCTTCACCCCATGAGCATTTTCCCTGTGGTTATTTTACTCTGTATCCTTCATTGTGATATACCACAACCATGAGTTATGATTTCTAAGTCCTATGAGTACTTCTAGTGAATCATGACATTTGAGGGCAGTCTTGGGGACACCTGACACAGTTTCAAAAATTGGAAAACATTGATGAAAGAAGTTAAAGAAGCCCTAAGTAAATGGAGATATAGACCATGTTCTTGGATTGGAAGACTCAATATTGTTTTATAGATTCTTCCAAGTTGATTTATAGATTTAACACAAACCCAATTACTTACAGGTTTTTGGTAGAGATTAAAGATTGATTCTAAAACTTATGTGAAAATCAAAGGACCTAAAGTAGTCAAAATAATTTTAAAAGAGACACACAAAGGTGAAAGACTTATGTTGTTGTTGCTGTTATGTGCCATCAAGCCAGACCCGACTCAGAGCAACCCCTCCTTGGGTTTCTGAGGCAGTATCACTACTAAAGTAGATTGCCCAACCTTCCTTCCAAGGAGTGGCTGGTGAGTTTGAACCGCCAGCCTTCTGGTTAGCAGTCAAGTGCCTTAGGCACTATGCCACCAGAGTTCCTTGAAGGACTTATCCTACCTATAAAAAATAGAAAGGCCAAGCTCACTGCCATTGAGTCAATTCCGATACATAGCAGCCCCCATTGGAGGTGGTAAATCTTTTCGGAAGTAGATTGCTCCATCTTCCTTCCACAGATTGGCTGGTGGCTTTGAACCACCAACCTTCTTGTTACCAGTCAAATGCCTTAAACACTACACCATGAGAGCTCTGTATGCTACCTGTAACTAAGGCAGTTTGCTAAACTTACTAAGTTTCCAGACTTCCTATGAAGCTACAGTACTCAGGACAGTGTAGTGCTGGTGTTAGCCACTGTTGAGGCTATTTTTGACTCACAGTGACCCCATGAGACAGAGTACGGTATTTTTATGCTAATAATGTGTACATTATATTGTTGTTGCTGTTGTGTGCCGTTGAGTCAGACCTGACTCATAGCAACCCTTCCTTGGGTTTCCGAGACAATATCACTGCGGAAGTAGATTGCCCAATCTTCCTTCTGAGGAGTGGCTGGTGCGTTTGAACTGCCAGCCTTCTTGTTAGCAGTCAAATGCCTTAGGCACTATGCTACCAGAGCTCCATATATTATATATCTATAGGCAAATAGTGCAACCCCTTCATGTGTTAGTTTCCTACGCATGCTATGTGCATTATATGCATGTGTGTTATTTCTGTGAGTGTGTGATATGTGAAAAATATGGTTTATCTGCCCCCTAGGGTTTTCTGGGCTGTAACCTTTATAGGAGCAGATTTCCAGGTCTTTCTCTTTCGGAGGCACTGAGTGTGTTTGAATTGCCACCCTTTTAATTAGCAGTCAAGTGCTTACTCATTGCAGAACCAGAGTTCCTTAATAAGAGAATAAACTAATAAAATTCATTTTTGTAAAATTGTCTGGGATAGTACAAGGGTAAATATTTGTGTATTCAAAATCAGTGGCCTAAACAACTGGATATTCATACAGAGAAACAAATTACATTCAGCCCTTACCTCACACCATACAAAAAGCTGACTTAAAAAGAATCAAAGACCTTCACACAAAAGCTAAAACTAAAAACATGTGAGAAAATCTTCAAGATCTTGGGGTAGGCAAAAGGGCCTTGGAACACAAAAAATACTCACCCTAAAAGACAAAACAGACTCCACCCTAAAAGACTTAACCCAAATGAACTTTTTTTGTTATTTTGAGGGCATCATTAGAAAAATGAAAAGTCAAGTCATAGACTAACAAAGAACTTGTTTTCAGAATATATAAAGAACTCTTTTGAACACAGTAATAAGAACACAAACAACACAAAGTAATGAGCAAAAAATCTGAACAGATATGTGAGAGGTTATATTTTCCAAAGACGGTCCTGCAATGTATTCCATTTCACATATTCTTCTCCTGTCATGGTGCTGATATTCCTTTCATTGAGTGTTGAGGTCTATGTCCTCTCCCTTTGTAGCTGGTGACTTTCTCCACCATTAGAGTATGGTAGAAGTAGCACTCTGACTTTCAAGACTAGGTCCTAAAAAATGCTATGAATTTCCAATTTGTTCTTTTTGGATGCTTGCTTTTGGAACCTTGCAGACTAACCAGCTACATAGGGAGGCCAGCAGTCTCTCCTGAAGGCCAGCTGAGAGCCAACATCAACACCAGACACGGGAGTAAGTGAGTCTTGAGATGATTTCAGCACCCAGATATTGAATTACAGAGCAGATGTGAGCTATCTCTGGCAAGCTCTGCCCAAATTACATATTCATGAGTGAAAGAAATGCTTTGTCTTAAGACACTAAGTTTGTGATATTTCTAATGCTACTATAGATAACTGGTTAAAACATGTCAAAAACATGTTATATACATTACTAAAATGCGTATGAAAATAAGCTTGATATTAGTCATCAGGAAAATGCATATTAAAACCCCAATGAAATAACATTACATATATATCAAAATGGCTAAAATTGAAAGAATTGACAAAATTAAGTGTTGGTGAGGATGTAAAGTAATGGGAAATCTTAAACATCTCTAATGGGATGATAAATTTGTGCAACCACTTTAGCAAACAGCAGTTCTTACAAAAGTTAAATAGATGCTAACCATATGACCCAGTAAGTCCACTCCTAGGTATTTATCCAAGAGAAATGAACATATAATCTGAAAAAAAAAAAAAACCTTGCAAACAAAGGTTGATAGCAGCTTCATTCATAATAACCCCAAACAGAAACAATTCAAATATCCTTCAGCTGGCAAATGAACAAGCAAAATATGGTATATCCATAGAATAGAATACTGCTATACTACTACAAAAAAAGAACAAATTCATGATACATACAACATGGTACAACCACAGGGATGAAGTGAGAGGTGAGATGTTATACTGCGGAGAATATAAGCAGTACCACAAAACAAAATGTGTATGGCCTGTTGAATATATAATGAATCTGCTTTGTAAAATTTCACCCAAATCAAAATTTAGTAAAACATGTTATGGTCACCTTAAAAATCTTTTTCTGCTTCTCCATAACAGTCTCTGGCTTGCAGGGTGGCTGGTTAGCTACCCTCCCTATCTCTGCCTCCTGCTCTCTTATATATATACACAGAAACTTCACTTGAAGCTTTCTTTTGAACTAAGCAAATTATTTTTGAAATATAAGGAATTGTTTAGTAAAATGAGGCATTGAGGGAATTTTGTCACTGATTGCTAGATAAAATGGAATGATGGTTATCACTGATGGATTTGGACCAGGCACAGATGTCCTACCCCCTACTCCCATTTTGGACTAAAGACCCTGAGATAGGGGTGGGGGTTACCAGAATCAAAGATGTATCTATGAGTGTTAAACAGTCCATACCTTGGGTCATGTCTGTATTAACTGAATGAGACAGACTTACACAAATAAATCACACTAATGTACAATCTATTCTAGAATAGATTTGATGCATTGAACACCAATGATGAAAACCAGAAGAATTGTGAGATGACATCAAGAGCATCATCCATGAAGAAAGCAAGAGATCACTAAAAAGTTGTTGTATGTATCATTAATTGGTATGTTTTTTTCTTAAAAAATTGCTGAATGAAAGAAGTCAAGTGCAAGAGTGTGCATCCTCTAGCATATTTATATTATATATTTGTTGTTATTGTGTGCCGTCGACTCGGACCTCACTCATAGCAACCCCTCCTTGGGTTTCCATTTATATCTCTAATGACAGAGTGCAGATGAATGGTTGCCAGGAATTGAAGCTGAGGTGGGAGATCAACTGCAAAAGGGCACAAGGGTAATTTTACGGCGATGAAAATATTCTGTATTTTATTTTTGGTCATGGCGATTTCAGTACATTTGTCCAAACAAACTGTATACTTAAAGTGGGTTCATTTTATTGTGTTCAAAGCAATAAAAGTTAAAAGAAGCAAACAAAAAGTAAACCCTTTGTTTTTCTATGGAAAGACCACCCATGGTGCATTACTCACTCTGCTTAGTTCTTAACTTCCAAGCCAGGGCACTTGAGATGTGGGTGAGGCTTTCTTTTTTCCTGGCGTATTCCTCTGTTTTTTTCCTCAGGTATGAAATATACTGGAAATTAAAGACATGATGGCTTTAATTAGCTAAACTACTATAGATTAATTATCTATTTAGTCATTCAGCAAACATTTCTTGAGTTCTACTCTGTTCTAGGTGCAGGAGTTATAGTTGTGAGCAAAACATGCACTGGTCAAGCTTACATGCTGGTGAGGGAGATAAAGGATTTTACTTCCTATTAAATATTTTGCCATATGTTATGGATTAAATTGTGTCTTCCTCCCCGCCACCCCCAAAAAATATGTGTCAACTTGGCTGGGCCATGATTCTCAGTATTATATATTTATCCCCCATTTTGTGATCTGATGTAATTTTCCTATGTGTTTTAAATCCTCATGTCTATGATGTTAATGTTAAGATGTGCCTAACCCAAGCCATGGTATTTTCAATCACCTCTTATGCATATGAAAGCTGGACAATGAATAAGGAAGACCAAAGGAGAGTTGATGCCTTTGAATTGTGGTGCTGACGAAGAATATTGAAAATACCATGGACTGCCAGAAGAACGAACAAATCTGTCCTGGAAGAAGTGCAGCTGGAATGCTCCTTAGAAGCAAGAATGGCCAGACTTTGTTTCACTTCTTTGCTCATGTTGTCAGAAGGGACCTGTCCTTGGAGAAGGATTATCATGCTATATGTACAGTTGAGGGTCAGCGAAATAGGGGAAGACCATCAATGAGATGGACTGACACAGTGGCTGCAACAATAGGCTCAAACATAGCAAGGATTGTGAGGCTGGCACAGGACTGGGCAGTGTTTCGTTCTGTTGTGCACAGGGTTGCTAGTTGGAGCTGACTTGATGGCACCTATCAACAAAAACAATATGATGTTAATGAGGCAGGAGTAGATGCAGTTATGTTAATGAGGCAGAATGCAATCTACAGGATTGGGCTGTTCCTTGAGTCAGTATCTTTGGAGATATAGAAGGAGTTAATCAAAAAGGCAGAGATGAGAGGGGCCCACTACCACCAAGAAAGAATAGCTGGGAGTGGAGCATGTCCCTTGGATCCAGAGTCCCTGCACTGGGAACCTCCTAGGCCCAGGGGAAGATTGATGCCAAGACACACAGACATCTTCAAGGGACACAAAGCCCACAGATGTTGAAAGGAGAAAAGAACTTTACCCTAGAGCCAACAGAGAGAGAAAGCCTTCCCACAGAACTGGCACCCTGAACTTGAACCTCTAGCATCCTAAACTATGAGAAAATAAATTTCTGTCTGTTAAATACTTGTGGTATTTCTGTTATAGCAGCACTAGATAATAAGATACTATCCAAATTTTGAATATAGTTTGCCACCACAAAAAAAAATCAAAAGATGCCTCAATGCACTGTTTCCATAACAAAAAAATGTTCCTTATGCAAAATGTGTGTGCAGTAATGCTGCCAGACTGGGGTTTAGCATAAGACCTCAGAGAGATGATTTATAGGGTCAGGAGGCTCCAGTGTATTGTTCACTCAAATCCAATGTTTCATTGGTTTGAGTGATGGTGGTTTTTAGGTATTAAGGTCATGGCTTTGTTTAGACCACAATACTCCTGGAAGGTCCATGGCATGAGGTCACCATATCCTAGATGCGGGAGTCTTTTTGCTATTTTAGTAAACATAGGATAGACACAACTTCTTGCAAATGTCCACATTAGCCCTGGGCAGTTTGATATTTGCTTAGGGTTTTTAAAACGATTAATACTGAATTTAGATAAACAGTATCAACAAAGCTATATTCAACTGAAACCCAAGCTCTTTTGTTCTTTATATGCCTTTTAAAATTACAGAAGTTACATAATAGAATATTATATAACACACACAAATGAGTGCATATAAAATGTGAAACTTGAGTGAGCTCTGTGGTTTATACCAATGTCAATTTCCTGATTTTGATCTTGTACTATAGTTACATAAGATGTTACCATTGGTGGATACTGAGTGAAGAGTACATAGAATCACCCTGTAGATATATTTTTTTTTTTGCAACTTCCCATGAATCTATAATTTTTTTAAATTACCAATGTAAAATTTGAAAGTCTGCCCGTTAACAAGTATCTTCTAGTAAGTTGAACTTTTGTTCAGATATTCACAAGTCAGAAGTAATGATATATTCACTATTGATAACTATTTTTCCACATGTATTTAAATTTCAATTTGTAGTGAAGGGGATAGTTTCTACAAATTTGTAGAAAAAAATTACTTGTCTGTACATTGTTGTTGTTAGGTGCCGTCGAGTCATTTCCGACTCATAGCAACTCCATGCACAGCAGAACAAAACACCGCCCGATTCCGCGCTAGCTCCATGATCCTTCCTATACTTGAGCCCATTGTCGCAGCCACCGTGTCAATCCATCTCGTCCAAGGCCTTCTCCTCTTTCGTCGACCCTCCACCTTAGCAAGCATGACATTCTTCTCCAGGGAATGGTCCCCTCTGACAACATGACCAAAGTAGGTGAGACGAGGTCTGGCCATCCTTGCTTCCAAGGAGCATCTCGGCCGTACTTCCTCCAGGACAGATCTGTTAGTTCTTCTAGCAGTCCATGGTACCTTCAGTATTCTTTGCCAGCACCACAACTTAAAAGCTTCAACTCTTCTTTGGTCTTCCTTATTCATTGTCCAGCTGTCATGTGCATATGAGGCAACTGGAAATATTGGCCTGTGTCAGGCACACCTTAGTCCTCAAAGAGATATCCTTGCTCCTCAGCACTTGAAACAGTTCCTTCGCAGCTGACCTGCCCAGTGCTACACGTCATCTAATGTCCTGACTGCTGCTTCCACTGGCGTCAATTGTAGAACCAAGCAATGTGAATTCTTTGACAACCTCAATCTTTTGTCCATTTATCATGATGCTGCTTATTGGTCCAGTTGTGAGGATTTTTGTCTTCTTTATATTGAGATGTAATCCATACTGCAGACTGTATTCCTCAATCTTCATCAGTAAGTGCCTCATATCATCCTCACTTCAGCAAGCAAAGTTGTATCACCAGCATATCTCAGGTTGTTTATGATTCTTCCTTCAATCCTGAAGCCACGTTTTTCTTCATATAGTTAAGCTTCTCGGATTATTTGCTCAGCATATAGATTGAGTAAGTATGGGGAAAGGATACAACGTTGATGCATTCCCTTCCTGATTTTAAACCATGCAGTGTCCCCTTGTTCCATTCGAATGACAGCCTCCTCGTCAATGTACAGGCTCCTCATGAGTACAATCAAGTATTCAGGAATTCCCATTCTTCTCAATGTTATCCATAATTTGTCATAATCCACACAATCAAATGCCTTTGCATAGTCAATAAAACACAAGTAGACATCTTTCTGGTATTCTTTGCCTTGAGCCAAGATCCACCTGACAGCAGCTATGATATCCTTTGTTCCATGTCCTCTTCTGAATCCAGCTTGCACCTCTGGAAGTCCTCTATCAATATACTGCTGCAACCATTTTTGAATTATTTTCAGTAAGATCTTGGTTGTGTGTGATATTAATGATATTGTTCAATAATTTCCACATTCTGTGGGATCACCTCTCTTTGGAATGGGTACAAATATGGATCTCTTCCAGTCAATTGTCCAGGTAGCTGTCTTCCAAATCTCTTGGCATAACCAAGTGAGTGCCTCCAGTGCAGCATCCGTTTGTTGAAATATCTCAGTAGGTATTCCATCATTCCCGGAGCCTTGTTCTTCGCCAATAACTTCATTGCAGCTTCGACTTCCTCCTTCAATACCATTGATTTTAGATTGTATGCCAACTTCTGAAATGGATGAAGATCAACCAGTTCTTTTTGGTACAGTAACTGTGTATTCCTGCCATCTTCTTTTGATGTTCCCTGCATCATTTAATATTTTGCCCTTAGAATCTTTCAATATTACAACTCAAGGCAATTCTTTCAGCTTGAGAAATGCTGAGCGTGTTCTTCCCTTTTGGTTTTCTAACTCCAGGTCTTTGCACAATTCATTATAGTAATTGGCTTTGTCTTCTAGAGCTGCTCTTTGAAATCTTCAGTTCAATTCTTTTATCTTGTCATTTCTTTCATTTGCTTTAGCTACTCTCCACTCAAAGGCAAGTTTCAGAGTCTCTTCTTGTCATCCATTTTGGTCTTCTCTTCTTTTGTTGTCTTTTTAGTGATCTCTTGCTTTCTTCATGGATGATGCTCTTGATGTCATCTCACAATTCCTCTGGTTTTCATCATTGGTGTTCAATGCATCAAATCTATTCTAGAATAGATTGTACATTAGTGTGATTTATTTGTGTAAGTCTGTCTCATTCAGTTAATACAGACATGACCCAAGGTATGGACTGTTTAACACTCATAGATACATCTTTTATTCTGGTAACCCCCACCCCTATCTCAGGGTCTTTAGTCCAAAATGGGAGTAGGGGGTAGGACATCTGTGCCTGGTCCAAATCCATCAGTGATAATCATCATTCCATTTTATCTAGCAATCAGTGACAAAATTCCCTCGATGCCTCATTTTACTAAACAATTCCTTATATTTCAAAAATAATTTGCTTAGTTCAAAAGAAAGCTTCAAGTGAAGTTTCTGTGTATGTATATATATAAGAGAGCAGGAGGCAGAGATAGGGAGGGTAGCTAACCAGCCAGCCTGCAAGCCAGAGACTGTTATGGAGAAGGAGAAAAAGATTTTTAAGGTGACCATAACATGTTTTACTAAATTTTGATTTGGGTGAAATTTTACAAAGCAGATTCATTATATATTCAACAGGCCATACACATTTTGTTTTGTGATACTGCTTATATTCTCCGCAGTATAACATCTCACCTCTCACTTCGTCCCTGTGGTTACCCTTTCCCTGTGCCCTTCTTGCCTATGCATTCCTGCCTCCCTACCTTTCTCCTCATGCAAATGCTGCCCCTCTCTTCTCCATGGTTGATTGTTCTAAGGAGTGCATCTCCCTGGTTTAGGTGTTCAGCTCATAGACCTGTCTATGGTTTGGCTGAAAGTTAAGCCATGGGAGTGAGTTTTGTTTTACATTTTTCTTCCACTCTTT